TATCGATGATGTTCGGTATTTCATTAATCAAATTCCAAATGCATTACAGTTCCTTTTTTTATTTCAATTAAATGCCTCTCTTTTGTATATGAGCCATATCGCTGTTGTATTTTTCCTGTCTGTTGTCGGAAAGATTAGGGCCGATTGGTCCATCAATTTCTGTTACTCGGCAATTATGCACACGGCCACATGCCATTTACAAAAACCTGTGCAATTCATTTTCGTCGCATTATTGGCATTTTTCCATACGGTATTGACCACCTACACAATTCGCTCTCCCTCTATCCCTCTTACCTCCGCTCCTTTGCTCGGCAAATATAAATAATTGCGGCAGCTTTTTCATGCTTTCTTTACACACAAAAAATAAAGTGCGCAAAACACCGATGAAAAAAAACAATCGAATCCATGGTTCAACATGCACCGGAACGAATACCTTCGATTCCACTATCTTCCTTCTCTGTGGTACATTTTTTTTTGATCATCTGCTCGTTGTTGTATCATGTGACTTTCTTTCGATTGTTGTATCAGTTCAATTGATGCGCACGCCTGTTTGCGCACACACAGCCCAATGCAATTCGATGTGTTGCAACATTGCGTTTCACTTTTTTCCCTCATATGTGCACGAGCGCGCGCTCGAGGAAGATGAAACAATGCACACAATCCAACGGATTTATGTTATCCCAGCCCGTACAAAAAAAAACAACACACGTTGCAATACTTTGTATTTCGCATTCAATAAGTACGCGAGCGCGATCAATGCCTTCCAATGCAACTCTCATCGTTGCACGGCTTCTTTTCGCTTTGTCTGTTTCATCGGTTTTTGGTGCTTGCCGTTTCAACAGAATTCGATGATTGAAATGATAAAAATGTGACATAGTGAACGTGAATTATTATATTTATATACATTTATTGATAATTATGGATAGCAGGCAGCATCGCCATGACGGAAGATTCAACAAACGCATTCACACAACAATACCACAACCAGACCAAAAGTGGAAAACACACAAAAAATTGATAGCGTGATTTTTTTTCGTTCTCTCTCTCTCTCTCTCTCTCTCTCTCTCTGTCGTGCTGGTTGTTATTGTTGTTCACCATTTCGGATTAATGCAAAGCGCAACCATACTCATCCACTTACTTTTATCTCTAGCGCGATGGGTTTTAAGCAGAGTGTGTTCCTCTTTTCGTTTGGTTGCTTGCTTGGTTTCCAAATTGGATAATATGTGAATGTGATAAATGCCAAGGAGTACTTAAAAAAAATTACCAGCCGGAAATTATCAATTCGCATTCATTTTGAGATTGAAAAATTGAACCGATTTTTTTTTAAATGCGTAAAATTGAGCCGATTTTTTTTTCTTCACCCAGATTCATCTGGCAACTGAAATTGGAGAATAAGATTGAGCACGGGCACACTGTATATGTGGTGATGTCATCACATTTAAAAGGTGGCCGCCGTCGTTGTCAGACATTCCGAGCTACGTCTAAAACATTCCGATTTCTTCTCGACACATTCACAATTCACAGCTTCTGTAAGGCAATGCGATCGGGTTTTCAATTGGTTAAGTCATTAAAATTCATTGTAAAGTGAGCTATTGGTTAAGCAATTAACCAATTTCTAATCAGGTTAAAATATTTTCCGAACTATTCAATGGAAATCCTTGTTTGTCGTCACACGACAGCTCTTTTTTCCCTCTTCGTTTTTTTCCCTTCTTTTTTCTATTGAAAATGTTACATAAAACAAACATTCGATGATGAAATGGAAAATTCTTCAGTGGAACCAGTGATGGTATGATTTTGAGCGGAAAAATGCACAGAATGCTGGCTATCATATTTGAATGAAGGAAAAAAAAACCAGTGCCATCGTGTGACAGAGTGAGAGATAAAAAGAGGGACGAAGATGGAAAGCGAGTGAGCAAGAGAGAGAGAGGGGAGACACAAAGAGAGTAAACTTTAAACAGTAATTTAACAAAATGACTTAATGCCAAAGTTGCACCCATTTTTGCATTAAGATTAAGAATTACACCGCATTTCTTGCCTTCTTTTAGCTTGTTTTCGCTCGAAAATTTATTTGTGCTGCCATGTTTTTGTGAGCGCGCACGTTGCATATCGTAATGCTTTTTTTTTCGTCCGTTCTTTTTATTATCGGTCGCGTCGTCATCGTCATCGTCGTCGTCGACGTCGCACGAGAGAAAGAGAGCGCAACAAACCGAAAGGAAAATGTCTACCTTTTATTATATATATCGAAAACAACATCACACTCCATTTGGTGAATATGTATCGTAGATAGAATGAATGCCGCACCAGAATGCTTAATGTTATCGATCGGACGCTTTTTTTTTTGCTCCGGTCTCTCTCCCTTCTCGTGTTATTTCTTTTCGTCTTCTCTTGTGACTGCTGCTGCTGCACTGCCGTTTTTTTTCTTCTTTCTCGTTTTGATTGCTCTTCTAATGTACCGAGATTTTCAATTGAATGCCCATAAAAAGGGCAATAAAACAAACAAACAGCAAGAAAAAACGAGCAACGACAAGCCAAAGCAAAACAAACGAACGTTAATTGTTGCATAAGAACGCGTAAATGTCTGCAGACATCGCTGCCTCGGATCGTAATGAATATTTATAAAAAAAAAAACATTTTTGATGGTTGATCGCGGTTCTGGTTGGGGTTTTCGTGAACTTCCATAGCTGTTGTTCATGGTTTGTTGTTGTTGTTGTTGCTATCGATTAATTAAGATTATTTTCTTTTCTTCGGACAGAATGATTTAAAATTTCCAAAGAGAAAATTTGCCAGCAATGAAGAACTGCGGCCAAAACGGTGGCTCGTTCACGAAAATCAACGTCACTTGAAAAATATACGTGAATGTACCGTTACGATTTATCATCGTTCTTTTTAGTCGGTTTGCATGTTCGTATCTTCGTTGCACTTGACACAAGATCGAAATCAACACAAATACACACACACACACACACAATCACACACAAATGCGACCGAATGATAAGCGCAAAACTGTGATGATGACAACCAACAAAACAAATACGAAAATGAAAACTCGGTGCAAATAAGAATTCACAATGCTGGATTCTTGAGCGTTGTGTCTAATACGCTATTTGAATATATTTCTGGTGCTGGTTATTAGCGCGTGAACAGAAAAAAACCGTCCATACGAAAATTAAAATGTTAAAATGCAAGCTGACGACACTTCAGTACAAACATCATTCAAGCGCTCGCAGCGCCATGAACTCTCGTATCATTTTGTATTGACTTTTCGATAGTTCATGAGTTCGCCGTAGACTTCGTCAAAACGTGTCGTCCCTTTGTTAAAATGTGTATTTGCTCTGGTGAAAAATGCGATTCGTTTTGTCTTTGCACTGAGAAAAGGCTGGAAGGAAATATTCCAACCCTGCGTTGTAAATGTTGTCATTGCAGACGATTTTGTGAATTGTCCAACCATGGTTGGAATATTGACAGCATTCTCGCACTTGTTGGAATATTTCCTTCCAGCCTTTTCTCAGTGTGGTAACAAGCCCATAGACACAAGTTTCACGTGTTATGTCGATTGGTTGCGGCTAAAAAAGGCAAATACATTTCTTTCGTTTTTTGTGTTTATATTTAAAAAGAAGAAGACAACGACAACGACGACGAAAAAATAGAACGATCAAGCGCAAATGTCGTTTGAATGCAATTTTATGTTCATTTGCTTTGGATGATGTGTATTTTAATTTTTATTTTTTATTTTCATTCAACTCGCAGCTTCAGTTTGCCATCTCTTTTGCACACTTGGCCCTGCGCACTTATTTGCGCACCGCAGCCAACTGCCGCTGGACTGCATGCGATTAATGCAGACGTCTAACTGTGGTTTTTAATTGCAAAGGCTCAACCATACCATAGATAAACATACATAAATCTATTTGGAATTCAACCGGCTGACATGTAAATATGTTTCTTCGGTTTTTTTCGCGATGAATAGTGAATACACACACAAATGGAAAAATCACCGCTCATTCCATTCGCGTTATTCCACGCGCTCACTTGCTCACTCGTTTGAAATACTTTTTTCTACCATCTTTCGCATAATTCCACCATTGAAACATATTTTATATCTCTCTCCCGAACAACAACAACGACAGCAACAACAAAAAAATCGACACAAAATATTTAAGATAAATATTCTCACATATGTGAGAGAAGTGTCGAATACCCTTTTATCCACACTCGATTATTTATTTGCTGTGTATGTGTGTTGCAATTCAAATAGTTTCCATTTAAAATATTTCATTGAGAAGCGCAGAAAAAATACGAGCATGTACACGACTTTTGAAACCTATCGCGCGAGAGATGTGCTTGAAATTTTAATAATCAACATCGATAACATTTGAATTTTGCTTTCAATTTTTTTCTCTTCTCGTTTCGTTTCTTTCTCACATGGTCAATAGACTCGATTTCTATGGAATAAACGAGTGCTTTTTACTTCATTTGTTTTTTTTTTGTGAGAAAAATCTCACTTTTTTGCTCGATTTTAGCTTAAGTTTGTTGTATTTGAGTTGGAATCGGTTGGATTTTAGCTTGAGTTGTATGGCTCTAAGTTCAGATTGGTTCAGATTTAAGTTAAATGCATGGAAATTTGCATTGCTTTGGCATACTCGAGTGAATGAAACTTCGTCCTTGGTCGAATATGCATAGAAAGAGAAAATCGATATGCGATCTGAGCTAAGCGATGCGATCAACACAAAACATTGTATGAATTATCTTATCGATCGCATGAAAAATGCAGAAAATTACAATTTCAGCTGCGTGATTTAATGCACACGGCTCAATCGCTCAATGTGAATATTATATCTATGGTAAGTTCAACTAGAATGTGTGGGTTTTATTCAAATAAACCTTGGCATTTGAATCCGTTTTTCTCATTTCAAAAACTAATTTATCGCATTGAAGTTTCTTCAGAAGAAAAAAACCTTTAAAGTTTAAATAGAAAAAAATTCTTTGAAAAAAATCTCGCTTACCTTAGTGCTTGAAGTCCTGGGTGCTCCATCAACAGCGATGGCATAGATTTCAATTTCGTAGACATCAACGCCGGCTTCACGATCCAATTCGGCGGCCGTTGATAGAATGCCCAATTTCGGGTCAACGTCAAACAGCCGGTCGACTTGTCGACCATCACCAGTCACATTAGTCACAAAATATTCAATATCAACATTGTTCAAACGAGCCAAAACCGTTGTAATGCTCGTTCCAATCGGTTCATTTTCATAAACACTTGCAAATATATCGTTATTTTCGAAAATCGGTCCATTCTTCGCTGCACTATCGCCAACGGTAATTAATGTTACATAGGCATCGGAGCTTTTGCGTTCACTTTGTACGGCTTCGTCGGTCGCTTTGACCGCCACTTGATATTTCAATTCGATATTATCTTTGTCGAGTGATTTTTGTAGCGTAATTGCGCCGGTGCTACGATGCAACCGGAATAGATCGGTATTACCGCCGACCATTTCATATGTCACAAGGCCATTGGTGCCGGAGTCTGCATCACGTGCGAATACATTCATTATGATGGCGCCATTTCGAGTCGAACGTAATTTATACTGTGGCAATATTGCTGCATTCATCGACACAAACATCGGTACGGAGTCGTTAATATCCTCAACGATAACGGTGCAGATTTTTTCCGCTGACAATCGTTTCGATTCGGGCACCGCTTGATCGGTAGCCACAATTGTTAATTTGAATGTGTCAATTGTTTCACGATCGATTTCACGCAGAGTAAAAATGACTCCTGTCGTTGGGTTAATGTCAAAATGACGATTGTTATTGCTTGGCTCTTGATTGATCAACGTGTAAATCACTTTGCCATTTACACTGGAGTCTGGATCTTCGGCCGTTACGGTTACGATCGGTGTTTTGATTGGGATTCCTTCTTTGATTTGTCGAACGATGGCGGTGCTTGGGAAACTCGGCGGATTGTCATTTTCATCGATTACCATCACGGTGAAGAGAATTGTCGTTTGCAGCCTTGGATTTCCACCATCTGTTGCCGTTATATTCAATGTGTACGAAGTAGTTTCTTCGTAATCAAGTGGCCGATGCAAATACAGTTTACCAGAAATTGAGTCAATATGAAATGTATCACGACGATTACCCGCCGATATTGAAAATGAAATTTGGCTATTGATTCCAAGATCTGAGTCGGTGGCACGGAAACGAATCAATTCCGTTTCGACGGGTGTGGTTTCATTGACGGCAATTTGTGTATCGGTTTGAGTGAAAATTGGCTCGTTGTCATTTTCATCCAGAACTTCCAATGTGATCGTTGTGTTGGAGCTTAATCGATTGCGCAGAGCTGCATCATGTGCGACAACCGTAAGTTTGTACGATGATTCCGTTTCACGATCCAATGTCTTAGCGAGTGTAATCTGGCCGGTTGAGCTATCAATAGCAAATCGACCATCCTGATTGCCATCGGAAATATAGTAAAATACATCACCATTCAAACCCTCATCAATATCCACCGTATAAATTCGAATCAATTGCGTTCCGATTTGTGATCCTTCGGGAATTTGCACTTTGTATGGTGTGCGCAAAAATTTCGGCTCATTATCGTTCAAATCCAAAATGAAAATCTTAATTTTTACGGTGTCTTTTAATCGAATCATTCCATTGTCGCTGACCATTGCCTCGAGCGAAATGAAATTCTGTCCGGTCGATTGAACCAATGCTTCGCGATCGAATTCACGTGCCGTTTTAATGAATCCATTACGTGGATCGACCGTGAAATCGTTTTGTGTGCTTGACAATGTATAAATCAATTCAGCATTGCGTCCAATGTCAAGATCAATGGCCGTTAATTTGCCAACAAATGAATCAATCGGTTCGTTTTCGGTGATGCTAAATGTAAATGTTGAATTGGTAAATTGTGGAGCGTTATCGTTTTCGTCGATTACATGAATAATGACCGGTACGGCAGAGCTACGCGTGGGCAAGCCACTGTCAGTGCACAACACTGTCAACGAATAATAGTCGTGCACTTCACGGTCCAACGCTTTCTTCACATACATGTAGCCATCGGGGAAAATGCCAAAGCTATTATCCGTGTTGCCTTCGATGATTTTATAGCTAATGCGACCATTTGCACCCAAATCCGCATCGGATGCGGCCAATGCAAAGAATCTGGTGTTGACCCGTGTTGATTCTAGTAAAGATGTTTCGTATGATGTATGATCAAAAACTGGAGTATGATCATTTGTGTCTTCGATTCGAATGTTTATTGTGCACTTTGATGAGAGTGGTGATTGACCGCCGTCTTTAGCTGTGATTTCAATTGTGATAACCGTTTCGGGTTCGGCTCGAATCGGTCGATTCAAGTACAAAACTCCGGTTGATTCGGAAATACGGAATTGATCCTCTGGGTTGTAAGTCAAACTATACGTAATTCGGCTATTTATTCCAATGTCTTTATCGCGTGCTCGTGAAAAATACACTTCTTGACCCACTGCTCCATTTTCTGGCAATTTAATTTCATCGTATTCCTTTGTAAACATTGGTGGGCTATCATTCAAATCCAAAATGGAAATATTCACCGTTGTTTTTCCATATGCCAATCCAGCACGGGCTGCCACGCTCAATGTGTAGAATAACATTGATTCTCGATCGATTAACTTGGCCGTTCGAATGATTCCAGTGTGTTTATCAATTTCAAAATTTCCATTTGGATCACCAAAAATGATGGCATACTCAATTCGATTTTTATTCTGTCCAATGATTTGAGTTCGACCGATTTCGCGGCCGATTTTAGCATTCGTAAGCCCAAAGTCTTCGGCGACTTGGAATTCATAGCCGGTGTATGAGTCGAATTCCAGTTCTTCCATCTTGACATCCTTGATGATTTCGACGATTGCATCATCTGAGCGCATATTATCGCGGTCCTTTGCGGAGATCACCAAACGATGCAATGGTTTTTGTGACGACCGAAAGTTTGAACGCAGTGAAATCTCTCCGGTCCATGAATCAATTGTAAATAGTCCATCTCCACCGCTTTCCATGTTGTATGTTATCACGGCATTATCACCTGCGTCTCGATCATTTGCAATCACTTTAACAATTGGCGTGTCGGTGGCGGTGTTCTCGGAAATTGGCACAAAATATTGTTTGGGATAAAATTCGGGCCGATTGTCATTCACATCTTCTACGGTCAATGAAACGGTTGCTGTGGCCGATTGTGGTGGAATACCTTGATCCCGGGCTACAATTTGAATTTCATAGAATGCAATCATTTCGCGATCCAATTTCGATTTCGTTGTTAACTGTCCGGTCATTGCGTCGAGAGCGAAAACATTTGGATATTTCTGATTGACGCCCGATTGAATTGAGTATGTCACACTGCCATTTGTTCCTTGATCATTATCCGTTGCGGTGAGCATTGCTACCAATGTATTCGGCGGTGTATTTTCGTTAAGCGTGACATTGATTTGATTTTGTGAGAATTTCGGCGCACCATCATTTTCATCTAAAACAATCACTTTCAGTTCGGCATAAGACCATTTTGGATTTGGTCCACCATCACGAGCCGACACATTCAACACAACTGTTCCCTGCAACTCACGATCCAGTGGTGCTTTCGTTGTAACCAATCCAGAAATTGGATCAATTTTAAACCATTGTCGTGTATTTCCCGAAACGAAATCGTAGAAAATTTGAGCATTCACTCCAGTATCTTCGTCCGTAGCTTCGATGCTAACAACATACGTTCCAATCGGTGCCAATTCACTCAATACCGCTGAATATTCGGATTTTTCAAACACTGGATAAGCATCGTTAACATCATTCACATGAATGATCAAGTTAGCGGTAGCCGTTCGTGGTGGTGTACCTTTGTCCGTTGCAATAATTGTCAAATTATACGTGCTGATCTCTTCGCGATCCAACACACCATTCACTCGAACAATATCAAAGCTTGGTGTATTTTCCAAACGAAAGTGTTGCCTTTCATTTCCGCTGATAATTTTAATATTCGTATCACCATTTAAACCTTCGTCCATGTCAACGACATAAATGGCAGCCACCACACTGCCGTTCGATGCATTTTCATCGACCGTTGCAAATGTGCCGGTCAATGGAAAGTATTGAAATCGAATAACTGGATCGTGATCGTTGGTATCGACTAGGTTGACGGTGACATAAGTTCGGCCATCTTGACGAGGTGAACCGTGATCGCGTGCAAAAACGGTAAATACACAGCTTTTCGGGCAACTCACTCCCGGCTTAACTGTCGTCGAGCACGTCTGTTGATGCGGACACGACAAGTGTTCGGTCGTTGAAATAACACCCGTCTCTGGATCGACGGTGAATTGTGTTTCCGTTTCAGATAAATAATACGTTAATTTGGCATTGTCGCCCAAATCATTGTCGGATGCCATAACATGAAGCACCGGTGTTCCGGGTGGAACACTTTCGTTCAACGAAACAATGTAGTCACTGTGATCGAAAATCGGCGGTGAATCGTTTACATCCAAAATTGTAACATTCACTTGAACATAGCCAAGTTTTGGCGGTTTACCACCGTCTCGTGCTGAAATATTCAAAAAGTAAAAACCTCTATTTTCACGATCTAATTTTCCTGTTGTTTCCAAGTGCAAGTACGATACATCGCCACTTGGATTTGTTGTCACGGCCAATCGGAATTTATCATCATGATTTCCACTAACAATGCGATAATCATGTGTAACACTGTTCATTCCGATATCTTTATCCGTAGCCGCATCCAGCAGTAGCCTCGTTCCGGACTGTGCATTCTCCGAAAACGAAACGGCTATACTTGGTTCGGGAAATTCTGGATAATTATCATTCGCATCTAAAACATTGATCCGCACTTCAATGGGATACGTTGGTTGACTTGACAACACCACCAAATCGTATCGATCCCGTTGTTCGCGATCCAGTGGCACATTCGTTTTAATTTCTCCCGTATTTGGATCAAGTGTAAATTCACGCGGTGGCTCATTGAAGCGATAGGTGAAACCGATTTTAGTCGGTACATACCCAACCACTGTGCCACGTGGTTCATTTTCTAAAATTTCAAGCGGTACTCGCGTATCAACCGCACGTGATTGCATTTGCGATGAAAATCCATCGGCTGACGATCGTCGGCGTGGATAAATGAAATTGGTATAGGTACCCGGACCGGGGCCGTGTGCATTTATTGTGCTAATTTCCATACAAATCAACAATAGCGTGGTTGCACAAATGTACAACGACAACTGTCGTCGTCGGCGCGTTAAACGAAGCATACTGCTGACACTCCAGCAAGTTGTGAGCGTCATAATTCACCTTTTGTCGCTTCGTTACAGTTCAACACATTTATGGCTGTTTGTTTATGAGCCATTACAACAATTCTTCAACAAAGCCATTTTTTTCATCCGTTTTCTTCGCTGTGTTTTTTTCGCTCTCTCTCTCTCTCGTATTTATTTATTTATTATTTCCATTCAGTGTGACTAACCTTCGATCACTTTGATACTTTGCCGACGATACACACAACCACCAAGAGCGTGCACGACTCACTCGTTGGCTATTTTCAAATTCGTTTTCGTTTTCTTCGAAAATTTTCACTCTTTTTTCGTTTGAATTTTTTTTTCTTTTCTTGTGTGTGTGTGTGTGATGTTTTTTTTTTCAGCACAATTATACGGACATAATTTTGCACTTTATTTTATTCACAATTAACACATTTGAGCTATTGAGCGTCGACACTGTATTTTATTGTGCAATGATTTCAATGTTGAGTTCAGCAAAACACTTAGTTTTTTTGTTTTTCTGCTGTTCAGAAATGCAGCGTCAATTGTTGCACACTCTGTCTCGGCCACTTTCTATTGTGCGTACGATGAAGTTCAACTGCAATGAGAAAGAGTAAATTGAAATGAAAAGTTTATGAGAATTGAAATTGAAAAAAAAAACATTTTATTGTTTTTGTGTGCTCGAAAGGGAATTCATTCTTGAATTCACTCTCTCAGTCCATCGAGATGCAAATGTTCGTTGGTTGGTTAGATGCAGTGCATCAATGTGCCTGTGAACGGCATTGCGCTGCACGGCAGCAATGACCTCATTAAACGCTCATTAAATGGCAAAAATGTCGTTTTTCTTCCATTCGTCGAACGTCGCCGTCGCCGTCGCCGTTTGATGTTGAATGGTTTATATTTTTCGATTCTAAAAACCCTCTAATGATGTTGTATTAAAATGTCTTCTTTTTGCGTCGTTTGCTTTTCCATTTTTTTCTTTCATTCTTCATCTCTTTTGCTCAAATTCTTATTGTTTCTAAACTGATATGAAATGACATAAATTAAAACACACAAACTGTCATCGAATAGGGAAATCGTTAACCAACGTGGCAGTGCAATTGAATTGTAAACAAAAAATGAATTATATATTTCATTAAATGAGACCCGACTGAAGCAGATGAAACGAGAGAGAGAGAGAGAGAGACGCAGAAAGGGAGAGCGAGATGAAGAATCCGAGTGAGCAAGAATCAAGAGCAGTGAAAAAGTGTACGCAAACTGCAAATCAATTGAATAATAACAATAAAACAAGTTTGAAATATTTCCATTGTTATCACAGGCGCGCTTGTATAACAACAACTACACGTATGCTCTCTCTCTCTGTCTAGCTCTTCGACAGCGCAGCTTATAAGTGGAATGAAAATAATAATAAGAGAAGCGCATCTTTGGCACAGCCATACGACAGTGATGACACGTTCCAATAAGCGAGAGGTGAAAGAACAATTTAAAGCATAGCTAGCAACAGCAGCAGCAGGAGCAGCAAAAAATGCAACGACAACGAAGAGTTGCAGTGCGCGAGGAGGGATTATTACAAACCTCAGACAACGAGAAGCAACACAGAGAGCGACCGCAAGAAAACACAACAACATTCAGTAGCGACATAGTAATAAAAGTAGCGACAGAAATAACAATAGGAAAAATTGAAATATAAGACACAATCACATTTCGCTCAAACCATGAATGGCGGAGAAGGAGAGAAAAAACGACACCAAACGTCGAGGTATAAACAAAGGCTAAGCAAACGCCGACAAAACCGTTTCTAATGTCGATGTTTTGTTATTGGATTTTCGTTTTTGCTGGCAGAACAAGGGAGAGAAAATGATTGTAAAAGTGCATTTCAGTGATTTTTGACATCTTTGACCAAATGTGGCTCTTTCTCTCGCTCCGCGCAAACATTCTATTAAATTGGCTGTCCGCGAATTTCTCTCCACCAGCCACACTAACAATTGATGTTTTAATTTCATTTTTTTTTCTCTTCATTTGTAGGTTTTTCTTTCTGCATTTACTTTTCCGGCTTTCAATTTTCAAAACCATTCCCAATGTCTGGGCAAACAGAGACTTGTGTGTTTGTGACAAAATAACGTCCAGCCAATATGAACGAATGCATATCCAAAATAATGACGTAGAAGTAAAAAAAAAATAGTGTAAACAAGCGAAAAGATAATCAAATCGAGAGAAGAGCAAAAAGGAAATGAAAAATCCACAGAAATTGAAATGAAATGGAATTGAATATAGTGGCGTAAACAAATGCCAGCACAGGAATTGCATTCAAATATTTGAATATCGAAGTTTAACTTATACACATAGACATACAGAGAGAGTTCTGTGGGGCTAAAGCAGGAAAAAAAGCAGCAGCAGCAGCATTACGATAGAGAATGCCAGAGAGTGAGAATTGGATTGTTTGGTAGTGGATTGATCGTTGTTTGCTCGCCAAATGGGAACTGAAAAGATGATGATTTTTACACATACAAACAAAGAAACATAAAATGCTGGCTGGCTGGCTGACTTGCAACTAACACACATACATGCACACAAATGATCGATAGCACAATATAATCCGACGAAAACTATATGTATACATTGAGATTATGTTGCGTTTCACCAGAGAACAAGACAAAATTCCGACGATATTTAGCCGTCCAGGTACACATATTTAAGGTAAACTCTCCTCTATGAATAAAAAAAACACGCAACAACAACAAGAATCCAACGAAGAAAAAAAACGTAACAGCAACACACGACCGTACGCAGATAATGAAGGAGAACCGAAAAGATGTGTGTGCACACCGAGAGAAAGAGAGAGAAAGAGAAGAAGTTCTGTGTGTTGATGTTGCTGCAGCAGCAGCAGCAGCAGCAGCAGCAGCACGTCTTGTCTGTGGCCATTCGGTTCATTCGCTCCGAGAATCAGTCGGTTCGGATGATCGACTCGCGCGTTTCTTGTCATACACGAATATATTTATGACAGAAAAACGGGTTATCTGCGTTCAAACGATAGAAACACATTGGTCGCTTCGCATCTCATCTTCGGCCAAGATGATGATGATGCTGTTGCTCTTACTGTTCTTGTTGTTGCTGTTGCTTTTTGTTGTTTTATTTTGTTTCGGTCTCTTGTTTCAAATCGAATATTGGTTTTGCGTTTAGATTGTTCGTTCGTTCGCTCGCGTAAAAAGTGTCGTCGTATTTTGTTCTTTTCGCATCGAATACACACGCGATCATTCAAGTGAGTGTGCACTGTGCATTTAGCAGACACAAAATATTTAGTTGGAAATTTGTCATTTGGTTCGTTTGTGCTGTTGTTGTTATTATTGCTGTGTTTTCTTCTTCTCTTTCGCATATTCTGATTTAAAATAGAAGAGCTCTTTGTTCAGAATTTTCTTGTGCCTCTTTATCTGTATCTCTTTTCTTTCTCTAACTTTTGCCGTCTTTCGGGCCTAGCCATCGGTCACACAATTCGATTAAATCGTTTTATCTCATTTAAATTCAGCTCAACTATTTTAATAGTATGACAAAATGTTTTGATGTAAATGAGAGAGAGAGAGAGAGAGAGAGAGAGAGAGAGAGGAAAAAGCGACTGCATTTAATTTTGAAAACAGTTATCGGCGACGCTGTTGTCATTAAGCATATTTTCTCTAGCCAGTTCGAAAATCAAGTGCTGCGAGTCAAATAATTACACAAATGAAATGAAATTATTGGTGTATGCAACAAAGTAGTGCGCTTTGCTGCCATCTGATTCGAAAGCTACTGTTTTCTTCATGCTTCTAATGTCCACTTATGATATCCACGCCGTGCTTATTAACCATGTCTCCAGCAAAGATATTTTTCCAGTTTCCTGCGCACAACGCACAAACTCTCATTCGTATTATAAATGGCCAGATGCGTTTTGCCGTCATGTTCGATCTGCTGTTTGCCATTGCTATACGTACTCTTCTGTTTTACTCTTCATTAAATGTCATCTCGCAAATAGAGGCGCGGACAAATCATCCACTTGTGAAACACACAAAAACAAAACAGTAACAACAACAACAACAACAACAGCCAAAGCAAACGGCTGGCCGCTTGCTTTTGCCGCAAACGGCGGCGGCCACATGAATACAAACTACCAATGATTATAATATAATAATGAAAATAATAATCGCCGTACTATTATCCAATTTTTCTTTAATCAAATGTGGAACCCTTTGTGTATATCAACAGATGAACACGTACGTATGTGTGCGTGTGTGCACAAACGTGCGCGCTCGCAAACGCGATCGTTCATTCTTTTCTGTTTTGGTATTTATTTTATTTCGAGACTCGTTCGTCTTAACTGTCTGTGGTGGTGATGTTGTTGTGTAATTTTTTTTTCGGTTTGTTTTGGTGTTTCGCACAAATCGAGCGAGATTCGTTTTATTTGATTCTATTCAAATAAATGCTGTTAATCTTTTCGCATTGTTTCGTTGTGAAAGGTGAAAAATCGAAAATGATGGTCATTTTTCTTTTTGACATTGTAAAATGTTCTAGCATTTTTTGTTTTCGAATGTTGACCAATCAAAATGAATTCAACGGTCACACGGAACTCTATCTCTCTGTGTGTAATGAAATTTAAGCACATATTTAAGTTAGAGTGGAAAAATATTTATTTTATATTTTGGATATTGGTCAAAAAGTTAAATGCCTTTATTTGAGCACGCTGGACACATTTCGGCCATTCTTAAAACGAACCGCTTGTGTTGATTCAACAAACTTAGCCATTTATTTGTGAAGTCGCATCGAGATGAGACAAAAGACGCAGCGCAGCACAAAACTAATGTTAAATATCGATTATGTCTTGAAATGAGCAGATCCTGTAATGGAATTGTCGAATGAATGAAGGTGAGAAAGCATAAAAGTCCAAACTGAGTCTCATCAAGTGAGAAACAAAGAAACAAGCAAATTACAACGGCAAGAGTGAGATAGAGTCACAAAAGCCATTGGGCATAAACGACAACAACAACAGTCAAGAGGAGAAAAATTAACAAAACGTCTAACGACGGTTCCGAATATTAAATGAGTGAGTATGATAAATCGAAATTCAGTGAAAAACGACAGATCGGCCACAGAGAGACTGTGTGTACCGTATATATCGGTTGGTTGGGACGAAGTAACCTGTGCCATCGCACTTCATTCGCATGGGACACAATCTCTCGCTCTCTCTTGGATATTATAAAATGAACGACGAATTGTGGTGTTGCGAGAGTGAATGAGTGTGATAAAGAGAGCGAAACGTTTGCTAAAACTCATCTTCTTCAAACACCGACGGACCCGGCACTCGAACAGAGAAATATTTCTTTCGTTTCATTTTGGCATTCTTATTTTTTCGTTCTTCCTCTTTTCATTCGCATTTTTCTTTTATTGTCGTGATTCTCACCGTCTTCGTGACGGTTTTTTTTTCGTTCGTTCGTTCGTCGTCTTCTTTTTCGGTGTGTACGATTTCGTAGTACCAACACACCATCAACATGAAAGCGTTCAACGTTTAGCAAAAATGAACGAAACCAACTATTTATTTATATATTGGCCATAAGATCAGAGTATCGACAGATT